AAAACAGGCTGAAAATACAAATGAAGGGGGAAGAAACTGAGCAGAGAGACGTGAGAGTTTGTTCCCACACCATGAAAATGCAAAGTCAACTGAGAACATTAACAGTTTTGAAGAGTTGCACAAATATGAAGAAAGAATGTCTGTTACAGCAAATTGTGTTTAGTGCTTGATGTTATATTAGTTCTACAATTGTGTCTTCAACCTATATTTAAATTTTAGACATTTAAAATGCTTCATTGAGGACGTTTGTGGTTTTACAGTGAAAAGACTCAAATTTTCATGTCAGATTTTATGTATTTTTGGTCCAAATTGTTGATTTACTACGTTTTAATGAAAGTAAACTTGAGTCAAATAGAAACTTAGTGGAATTAGGGCAGTGACCAGAAGCTTGGATGAAGTTAGTGAGGAAAGAGAAAGTAGTTACACCCCCTCCTCCTCATTACTGCCTGAAAAAGACCATTAACTCTGAGCTGCTGCAGTGGAAACAGACCGCGGCTGCACTGGGCAGCTTTCAGGTGTAAATGTGTCATGATGAGAGCGGCTGCTTCCTGGTTAAATAAAGGTTCAATTAGAATGACCACACTGCGGTGGCTCCACCAACCAGTGCAGAATAATCTAATACACTGTATGATAGGAATGACTGTGAAGGAAATGAATAAGAGCTGAGATACAGAGGTTTTGTTTCCACCTGTTTGGTTGTTTGTCGACAGGATTGCACAGAAACTACCGGACGGATTTCCATGAGTCTTTGTGGAGCGTTGGGACAGGAGCCAGGAAAGAACTCTTTAAGGGTTCGGAGTGGATTCAAACAAAATAGGCAGATCTTTATGGACATTTTCAACAATTTCCAAGGGAAAAATTACCTAAACTTGATAAAGTGATGAGCTGATATTTAACATAAATGCATCTGAAGGTGGATGAAAGTTGATGAACACTTACAGTAAGTTTACACCACAAAGAACCAACGTTTGCATCTTTATTATATTATAAGGTCGCTCTCCTTCGGAACAGGATTCATTTGAGCTGCGGATGGTGTGATTCATCAGCGCCGTCTGTGCTATTGGCTCCTCCCCCTGTGGCGCCATGACACATCACACCCTGATGTGAGCGCGCTTTATTCTCACGTTTTTTCGTCAAGTGCTCGTCTCAGCAGGGAGTGTGTGGGTGGCCAAAGGGCTATCACACACACACACACACACACACACACACACACACCACACCCACATCCACACCCACATCCACACCCTTCATGAAGTCAGGAGGTCTCCCTGCACTGACTTGTTGAAAAGCGCTAAGTGTTTTGAATAGAAGCAAATTACACTGATGGAGAGAGAGAGAGAGAGAGAGAAAGTGAGAGAGTTAGAAAAGGAGAAGAAGACTAAAGAGCCTCTGAGGAGGGAGAACGAAAGAGAATGGATGTGTGAGGTTAAGCTGCATGTGTGCGTGTTGGATTCCTGCCAGTAATTTGCGGGAGCCACAAGTAAAGTAATGAAATGAAACGCCGGGATCAGGAATGACTGGAATGTATAAAAAAAAAAGAAAGGAAAAGAGGACAAAAGGACGGCGGGTGGTGATTGGTCAGGTTTGAATTGGAGGACGAGGAGGCGGAGGCAGGAGGGACTGGTCTGACACATTTGGCAGAGAGGACGTTTCGGTTATCAGGAAACAAGGTGAAGTCATCCTTCTCAGGTTTTACCCTCAATCAGAGTGTTTACATTGTTCTGCACGGAGCTGGTGACGATCAGCTTCCTGCAGGATCCTGCTCCTTCTCAGAAGAACAGGTGAATAATGGGTTTCTCCGTCATTAGTCGTGGTGTGATACAAAGTCACAAACACAGCTGCAGACCCGTAACCACCACAGATATGTAGCAGAGAATCCACAGTTTATGTTTATCTCTACATGGATCTTCAATAGTTGTACAACTCTGTCCAAATGAACATGATGGATGTGGTGCAGATCCAGAACCGTCAGACAGAACATTGTTTAGTTGGCTTGATTGAATTTAAGGGGACTGTTGGGCCTTGGTGAAATCTGTGTGATGTTAAATCTGTAACAGCAGCGATCAATCCATCAATTAAATGTCCCGTCCATCACCGGAAACAACACAGCCACTAACAAAGCAAGGTTTCAGCAGGACAAGTCAGAATCTGTCAGTTTCCACAGCTGAAGAGTTTTTCTCTAAAATAACACAGTTCACTCACTCAGGAACCTTTTCTCTCGCTGTCAGTGATTCCAGCGGAATGTTAAACTGGAGCCACGCCATGGACAGAAATACAGAGCGTTTCTGCTCATGTCAGAGGGAATTCAAATGCTTTTATCAAATATGTTAACCTCCAGAGAAGGAGAGCATCATTCAGCAAAGGCCACATATTAAATACAGATTTACTCGGTAGAGCAGGGGTGGGGAACCTTTATCCTGTCATGGGCCATTTCAATTTTTACAACATCCTTAGAGGGAAGTGTTAAATTACTGAACACATATTTCACACTGGCCTCTGATATGATGAGTCTGATGTCAGATGGTATTGAAGAGGAAAATGCAACTTACAGCTCGTAGGTCGAGCAGAGAGAGGATGTTCCAACTACATATTTTAAACTCGCTGTTGCTTTGCAGTTCAATGAGTTTGTGTTATAAGTTGTAGGGAACGTCAGCTGTTGTCACATCAAACAAACCAATACGTTTAACTTCTCATGTGTACTTTTCACTCGATATTTCAGCATCTGCTTTTGTGTTTGCCGATTTGTGCCGATATCTTTATTTTGTTCGCTTTAGAAGCAAGTTGGAGAAACAAATGAGTAAAAGCAAATGGGTCAATAAAATACTACTACGATCTTTATCTCGCGTTCGAGAGTCTTGCAGTCATTGCGAGTTCATGCTGCATGACTGACTGGCGACAGCGGATCACACACTTGACAACTTTTCACCAGGAGAAAATTCCAACACTGAATTTGTGTTACCCTGTTCCTGACACGCTCATTTTCCTGAATTACAGACGTGTAATTCTATAGCGTGAACTGAGCTTTAGGCAAATATAATTCTAGGGATTGATCGATGTTGGTTTTCTTCAGTTTTACACGATTGATAAAACACGGATGACCTACACTCAGTGCTGAACACGTTCTGTTAAGATGGAGGACGGCTTGCGGCAGCTGCTGTTCTGCTAACACTGAGGGTTCCCTATGAAATGGGTCATCAGAGGTGAGAAGCTCTTGAGGTTTTCTGTTTTCTGCCGACCAAGATGGTTGCTCCTGAAATACGACCTGATTTCCTTCTGTGTGTAAACAACACTTCAAAAATCTGTAATGACTGAGGAGGACTTCCCTCCACAGTAAACAGGACACGCTGCAGGAATGGATGACCTGAATTGTGTCCCAGTTATCAAACACAGATCTTCAGACGCCACAGCTCCATGTAAGAAAACATTTCATATCATACTCCATTCATGTGTGAGCAGAAGATTTATGTCGGGGGAGGTGGAGCACAATCAACGTAGGAAGCTGATCGATATGAAAACCTGAAGTATACTGAACACGTTGAGGGTAACGTTTAATAAACTGCTAGTTGAAAATAGCCAAACTAAAACATGCTCCGCCATGGCCTATTTTCATATTCTAGGATAAAACCTGACACTTCTGAGTTATTTGAATGAAGCTTGGTAAACCCCAAAGGGTTTTTTGTGATTTCCTCAATCCATAAACAGAATCCTTCAGCGTGTAAATCATCGAAACAAGAAGGCGGCCTGTGCACGTCTGAGGTACTGACCATACTCCTGGTTGAGCCCCCACAGCTTGATCTTGTTGGCTTCATGCTGGGCCTTCTTCTTCAGCCGGCAGGCCCTGGAAACAGGAGGAAAGAAACCGCCGTCATTTCTCTGGAACAGGAAATTCTGCTCTAGTATTCCCCTTCTCCACATGACCCCGTTACTGCGCCTGCTGGCTCACACTGCGAGCAGCTGAGAAGAGGATGTATTTCCAAACCGTGAGGCGGACTGAGTGAAAACCTCCCTTGTCCCTCTGCTCCTCCGAGAAGCATTTAACACCGCGACCCTGAAGGGATACGGCTGGTTCGGATTCAGAATATTTGGGGGTTAAATAAAAAAACGAAGCAGCGAATGAATCAATCATTGCGTGTTAAATATTAATGCTTCTCATGGGGACTATTCTCTACACACACATTTCCTGCAGCTGTGAGTCAGCTAAATGAAACTTAAGGAAGCAAAGTACTTGCAGGCCAGTAATGTTGGACAGAATACTCCCCTCTGTGTTTCTCTGCTTGTTGAAATGTTAAATTATGCCTCATCCAGGTTTTTCTATTTGCACCACACTGCCTGCTGCTTTGGGGAGGACGCCGGCGACCATTCAACAACGTAGCTGTTCCTAATCACTGTAGGGATGGCGTCGACAAAGCACAAAGGATGTTCCAACATGTAACCAGCGGTTTTTAAATTGGTAACAGCGTTTCCCTACCTAGCCACAGGCCCCTGAATCCAACAGCCCTTCCTGTTGTACCAGAAATAGCCCCTAAACAAGACGTTCGCAGTGATTGATTGCCCACATCTGCAAATTGATTTAATTGGTGCACGGAATGAGATGAAACCAGTGGTCGCCTGGAGGTAGGAAAATCGGAATCCTCTGGTGCTTGTGAGCTCGGGAACTGGCCACAGCGGCTTTTCTTTAAGATGCTTTGAGGTGTGTCCAAAATATGAGAATTCATAGAAAGGTTGAATCACGAAAAAAAGCTAATAACTGACATTGGTTCTGCACACGTCAGCCTTGCTTAGAAAGAGACCCTCTTGAAAATGTATAGGGGGCGCTATCGAGCATTTCTCAGTAGATTAGGAGCATATCAATGTGTTTCCAATAGCTCCAAAACTACCGATTGAATATTGACAGCCCACTAGCTCGCCAAATGGTGTGCACTGGGGTTAGCTGTAGTGGTCAAGCTAACTGCTACATAGCTTATAATTTAAGGTTGTTGGAGGATTTTTCGATGGAGCTCAGCTAAGCTAGGTTAAACAAAATAAGAGAATTCGTTGAAAGTTTTTTTTTATGGTTTCCAAAGACAAGAATTCACTTTCACAGTCAACAAACATTACTGGAAATCAGTTTTCATCCTTAAGGCACAGAGACTGATTCTAAAATTATATTTTCCGAAACAACTAATCACCATGTCAGTGATCTGGGCGTGATTTTTTCAACGTGTTATTGGAGCGTCCAGCCGATGCTAGGAACTGGACTTTTTCACCCCCACGCTGTGGACGGGTTGAGGTCTGGAGGCGGTCAGGACAATCCCACCGCTAACTCTGACCTGCTCTCGGTCAGCCACAAGTATGACGGTATGAAACAAAATGAATATACACAAAAGAAATTCCTGCATATTAGATTAAAACTCAGGACCCAGTGACCAACGATACACATCCTCCTCCTCCTCTCTTCACCGCTTCACTCTTTTTCTTCCAGTTCTTATCCTGAATTTTCTTTATCTCTGCGCCAACTTTCTATCCGATTGTGTGTTTGTGCCGTGTTTAATATATGTTTGGAATAATAGGATATTCCCAGAGTCCCCCTCCTATTTAAACTGCCTCCTTCCCTCTGTGTTCTCCACCTCCCCCCACAGATGAACTTTATATAACCCCTCTCTCCCTCCTCATCTAAATCCATGTCTACCTCCTCAGCCCTGCCCTGATTTCCTTCTATTCATCATGCCTTCCTCTATCTCACCTCCTCCGCGTCCCTCCATCCTTCCTTCGATATTTCCCCAGTGTGGGATGAATAAAGTCTATCTTATCTTATCTTCATTTATTCCACCATGATATTGTCCAATCTGAACCCGTCACCTGAAAAAAACTTTGAAATGTCCTTAAATGTAAATCGACAACGTGTAAAAGCTTGTTACGGCCGCGTCCTCAGAGGTCGTGTTGGGTGAGGTTCACCGTGTTCTCCGTCGGAGGGAGTTGAAATCGAAACAGCACAGAGAATAAGACCAATTTCCCTCAATTTCAGATTCAATGTTTCTCTCAGTATATTCTTCCCCCTCTGCGTCCCCCAGAAACAGCATTAGAAGGTCAACAGTTTAAAAGCACCACATATTTAAAAACCGAGCTCGACGAGGCTGAAGACTAGACGGCAGATACCAAACCACAGAGCCCTGCAGAATTCTCTTCTTCCATTCTTGAGCTGCAAATCATTTACAAACACTGAAAAATACCCACTGACGCCTGATGAATCAATAGAGTCTCCGGAGCTCCGACTCTGAAGGAGGTGCAGCGAGTGGAGACTAATACCTGGAGGCCAGCTTGTTCTTCTCCTTGCGCGACCTCGCCCGGGCCATGGCAGGGAGGTCGTTGACCGGACCCATGCCATCGATGGCGGCGTTGAGCTTCTGCAGCTGCTCCCCGATGTTGTGGAGCTTCTGGGGGTTTGGTGTCAGGTCGCTGGCGTCCGTCTTGCGAGCTTTGCGACGGCCTTTTTTACCTGGAAACGGGGACACAAGAAAGATCTCACTATCCTGAACTCTCTTCCAACCCATTTCTTTTTGGTTTTCCCCCCAATACCCATAAACGTATTGTTTAGTCAACCGATATGAAAACTTTTATCTTACAAAATGAACAATGAAGACAAGAGGAGCATTTGAGTTTATATTTTGCAATTTCTATTTCCTTAATTAAAGTTCTGTATATTTGGTATAACATTTCTTTTTTATAAAGGTTTGATAGAAAAATCTTAAGAATGACGGCACATTTTTAAAAATTAATTCAACCTTAATTTTAAAATACATTGAGGTAGAGACCTCAATTACAGCCCAGCCGAGAAGGGAAAATAAATAAAACATTCCAAGACACAGAGAAAACACAAATAAGAGACAGTAAAATGTGTTAAGTAGCAAAAGCAAGAGCTTTAGGAATAAATACAGTAAATAAGATAAAACAATTGAAAATAAAAAAGGATAAATATCCAGATTTATGCCGTGGAACCAAATGTTCATGTTAAAACGAACTTAACCTCAAAATTGAGATGAGACCAAAAATCTTACTCTCACTGCTTTCAGAGAAAGAAGAGAAAGAAGAGTATGAATGGAAACGAAACCTAGATTTGTTTTCTAAAAAAAATGACCTTGGAGGTTTGAAAATCTCAGCGGAGCGTCAGAGGAAGTGGTTACAGAACATAAACCTGTGCTGACTGAAACACAGCAGTTTGATTTTATTACATTGAGTCACAATAATGAACTGAATCATACAGAACACTGATGCTGGCAAACAGCTGCAGACACAGTTGTAAGGTTCTTATCAGGGAGAACTTGACGTTGTATGTAGGCCACGCGCCTGAGGGTCCTGATCCGATTTGTGTCACATAAGAAGGGAAGAGAAATGGGACGATTTTTCAGCTGCAGTGTGGATGTGGATTCGAAGACTTCTGCTGCCAAAGAGTCTGTGGATCAGTTCTACCTTCACCTCTCTGTGGTCACAGCTGCGTTCACCCATCGATTCGTGAATGATCCGAATGTAGATCTGCTTAGTTTGTTTGACCAAAAATGTAAAATACCAAGATTCCTGTGAAGATTTCACTGATGTGATTGTTTAGTTCACTGACTGGTCTCTCAGTGTGTCCTCACCTTCTCTGCGGTACAGTGTGCTGGGTAAAGTGCTGGAGCTCCAGGACAGGGACCAGTGGACGTCTCCGCCCAGCTTCTTCTTCGTGGCCGACTCTCGTGCGCGTCTGTACTCCCAGAAACAGCGGCGCTTCGATGGCCGCTCGCCGGGCTGCCTGGCCGGCTCCGCCTCCGCCTCTAGAGGTACAAACATGAAACATTTCTGGATCAAAAAAGAACAGAACTGTAGGAAGAGTTGAAGAGAAACATGACTTTGCTTTTCGTGATTCAATATTTTGTTTCATTGGAATTTTTGTTTGGTTTTTCTCATGTAATTTAAAGTTATATTCTCAACAGCCATAACAGAGTTCACAAACAGATGTAGTCATGTCTAGTTCACCATTTCGTGGTGACTTGTGAAAAGTGTTTCCAAACTTTTCGGGATTCCCCATCATCTGCATTCTTGCCTCGGTTTCGTTTTTCGCGAAACTTGATAACACGAATCATCTGCTGGATGAAAGCTGTAACCTCATTCCATGAAAGTGATGGGAAGAAAATCAACATTTAATTTAA